ATATTGAAAAATAACAGAGCTGTCCAAGGATTGGACAGGTTGGAAATAAATGGGTATATTTTGCCCCCAATTTGGGACAAACTGGAAATAGTTGAAGGATAATCAGCAAAGTAAGGGTAACATGGATAATTCAAAACCTCCAGTAGTTTCAACCTCCAAATGTTAAGCTATTGAATTTCTTTCCTCCCTACTCACTTTTCTAAATATTGCCTTGTAACCCTCCCTTAACATTTGGCAATGTTATTATAATGTATCTTGGTGTGGGTTCCTTTGGGTTCATTTTATTTGGAACTCTCTGGGCCTTCTGGATCTGGACTTCTGTTTTCTTCCCCAGGTCACAGAAGTTTTCAGCCATTATTTCTCCAAATAAGTCTTTTACCCGCCTGTGTCTCTCTTCTCCTTCTGGGATCCCTATGATGCAAATACTGGTCTGCTTAATGCTTTCCCACAAGTCCCTTGAGCTCTCTTTACTCTTTTTCATTCTGTTTTTTCTTTTAGCTGCTCTGATTAGATGAGTTCCACTGCCCTTCCTGTCTTTGATTCACTGATCCTTTCTTGTACTTCATCTAGTCTGTTGCTGAACCCCTTTATTATAGTTTTCAGTTCAGTTATTATATTCTTCAGCTCTGTGATTACTGTTTGGTACTTTCTGATATTTTCTTTCTCTTTTTTTGCTGAAATTCTCACTTTGTTCATGCATCGTTCTTGTAAATGTCAGCAACAACAAAAAATCAATAGTCAATCTAAGAAAGAAACGGAAAATTTTTTACAAGCCAAACTGCAGATCGTAATCTGGGAGACAGTCTCTCAGAGAGCTCTGAGAACTGTTCCAAAGCGGTGGAGGGTTGGGGAGCTTCAGTATATATGTGATTTTGGTGAAGGGTGCATGAAACCAAGCACATGCCTCAGTAGAAGCTTGCTGCTAGCCATGAGGAACAGACATCTTAGTTAATGGTTTTAGTACTTTTCTAAGTATGGAAAGATACAGGAATCCAGGTTCATACAAAATTTCTCCCGAAAATATCACAGGGCCAGTTCTGTCAGTTTTCCCAGAGCGCAGAGTGCTTCATCCTGATCTTAACCCTGAACTCCTTTCAAAGTGTATTGCAGGTCAATGACTGTAGTGGCTAATGGCTTGATTCTCGTAGACATTGATGGTGAGCAATATTCTTTATTTTACAGTCCCTTCCCTTTTGGTCTTACTTTTGGCCAAGGTTTGGGAGGCATTTCATGACCAATGTGTTCCACGGTGCTTGGGATGCTCACTCCCAGGTCAGGCAAGGATTCTGTGGATAGGCCACTTGCTGTGCTATTACTGGACTAGGCTCTGTTAACAGTAGCCACAAGCCTCTGGACCAGCTGTCTCACTATCCTGTTATGGGCCAGGGAATCATTCCCTCTTGTTGCTTCTTCCCATATCTAGAGGACACTGTTAGAGTCATTGCTCTTATAGAACTATATATCTGGTCAATTGTTGCAAGTTGCTTAATCATCATTAATTTTATCTGAGGCTCAGTCACACATTTGGTAATGCAAGAAACAACAAGCGTGTAAACTAGGCAGAATACAAGTAATATAGCTAGTGACAATTAATGAGATGATAAGTAAATAATTAAGCTAAGAACTTCCGTTAGGTGCAGCCCAGTATCTCTCCACATCGCCTGACCAGTCTGCTCTGCACCAGTCACTATCTTTAAGGGAAATGATAAATTATACATAAAGTTCACCAAAGATGTCTGCACGTGAAAGGTGAGGGGTGGGTCACTGTGACCGCTTACAGGACAGAGAAACGAACGTTATCTTCCAAGGAGTTACGTGGCTGGTGCCAGAAGGAGGCCATGGGGGAGGCCTGGGTAACACGTAATGCAGATGTACAATGCACACTGGGGCTGGGGGGCGGGGAGGAAGCCCCGACGGGCAGAGAAATCGTTTTATGTTTAAATTTTTCTTGTCTTGCCTTAAAATGTGAATTTTTATTTCATCAGTGCATTGTTCTCCTGCCCTTGGTGTCTTTATGACTATTTTCAGGTAAGACACTTACCTCCGTTTCATCAAGGTATTTTGCTGAGGTTTTATCTTGTTCTTTTGTTTGGAGCGTATTCCTGTTTCTTCATTTTCCTGGACTCCCTGTGCTGGTTTCTGTGCATCAGATAAAACAGCCACTTCTCCCAGTCCTGAAGGAGCAGATGTGTAGGAGATAAACCTTGTCCAACCCTGCCCTAGCTCCTGTTGTTTGCATGCCTGTGTGCAAAGCCAGTTTTATCTTGTCAAATGAGGCTCTTCAGGGGAATTTTCAGGGCAAGATTTCCTTTTGTCTTCCTTTCCTGACACCCCTTTGATGTCTTGGAGAGGGAGCCCCTTCAGGTTGTCCTCACTGAGAATGTGGCTCTGGTATCTACCAAAAACTCACCTGGCTCTCCCCTGACTTCTAGGGTAACTGGGGCTCCTTGGGGGATTTGGGGGGGGGGTGTTGTGAAGGGCCAGTTGGGGAGCCCCCAGGCTGCTTCTTCAGTTAGCAGGAGCTGAAAGGAAGGGGGTTTAGCTCAGGCCTTCCCCCTCTGTGGTTGGTCGGGGCCTCCCCACTTTCTTGCAGTAAGTGCACTGACTAGGTACCAGCTTTGCTGGTGGCCTGTGTGTCCCAAGTCCCATGTTGGGGGCAGGGGCGCTCATCTGTGGAGTCTTCTTATTCTCTCCTCCCGGGTACCTGGGGTGGTCTGCAGCGCTACTGCGAGCAAGGCGCCTTGCTTCTTCATCTTCTTTTTCTTCTTCTGCCACATCTTGGTTATTGAAAACCAGCTGGTAGGTGGGGGTGATAGGTCCCTACAGCAATCTTCTGAAGTTTGCAGTGAGTATTTGGAGCGCTAGGGGCAAAGGAAAACCTAAGGGGTCTTCAGGGGATCCTTTCAAAACAGGGAGCGAGGTCTTCCCCCCTGAGTTAAATTGCTGAGCAGCCTTAAGTCTCCATTTCTTCTGCAGCCTCTGCTCTGGTAAAGGGCCAGAAAGCACTGTACATAGGGAGCCCCACCTCATTTCTCTTTTCTCACAGAGTTAAGTCCAGTTGGAGCATGGTGCTATGCTTTAATGAGCCATTCTCTGGCCAGTTTCCCTGGTCACCTACTTGTTATTGCGGCCAGACAGTATTACAAAAGAAAATAAGTGGATATCTTTGTCATTTGCAGTAGAGCCGTAGAGTTTCTGATGACTCAGAATGCACCCTAATGGGCTGTCTGAGGGGACTGATGTCTGGTTGCTCACGTCCTTGGATCTGGGTTGAGAATGTGCCTTCACCTACCAAGAGGTCTGTAATAAGTGTTGGTGGAGACACAGATTCGGCTGTTCTCAGCCCACTGAAAATTTCCTTCTCTAGAGAGTTGGTAAGTAAGTTCTTCCAAATGATAATTTAAAAGTGCACACTCGGGTTGTTCAGGCACACCAAACTGACGCCCCTCTACAGATAATTCAAGTTACCAGGACCCTCTAACAAAAGTCATAACCAGGGCCCCTTTGGGTTGTCAAAGCCAGGACCCCCTAACGAGGGTCAAAACCAGGAAGAGGGACGCAGATTATTTCACTGAAGCCTTTAGTGACCAGGGTCCCGATCAGCCTCCAGGACTCAGGCAGACGGGGGTGAAGTTAGTATTTCCCATTTTGTTGAAAATGCAAGTACTGATACACAGAAATAGAAACAACAAACACAGTCGCACAGACAAAAAGATCAGACTATGGAATTGTAGCCTAAACAATTCCATCCCCCCTCCCAGATGCAGACCTCAAGACCAGATTGGCCCCGCTCCCAGAAGAGAACAGCCCAGATTGGCTCATTTCTCAAAAGGGCATAAGCCTAGATGAAGGAGGGTAATTCCCAGCCTGCACAAGCGACTTACCCCCAAATGAAACAGAAGGCTGATGGTAGGTCAGAATGCATCTGGCTCAGAGTTCCCTGGAGCAGAATGAGCCCCAGTAGCTCCTGGGGACCCAGGGAAGGGGCTGCCCCAGTCAGGGTCGACCTGCCACGGGCACAGGCTCCTGGCTGGCTTGTCAGAAATTGCTGCTGAACCCAAGGTCGTGTGCCCTGTGCACAGGGAGACCAAACCAAAACGTCAGAGTTTCGAGCAGAGAAAGGTTTATTGCAGGGCCAAGCAAAGAGAAGGGGAACTTGGGCTCAGAAGACCCAAACTCCCCGATGGCTTTCAGGCCAGGGTTTTTAAAGACAGTGTTAGGGGAGAGGGTCGTAGGGTGCGTGAGCAGCTCGTGGACCTTCTTTGGACTGACTGGTGGTGAAGTAATAGGGTGATGTTTCCGGAATCTCAACCTTCCGGTTCCAACTAGCCTGGAGTCTACGGGTTGGGGGCCGTAGTTTCTGTAGAACAGCTCAAAGGTCTGCATCAAAATTGTTGTGCATTTCCCTTCAGGAGGAACTAGGCTACCCCCGAGTCTATTGTTCGGAGCAGTAACTGCTTGAGTCTGCTCTTTGGAAGTCAGCTAAGGCCTAGGAGACTAAAGACTTTTTTCTGAAGGCTGATTGGAAGCTGGACCCTCAGGCAGTAGCTTTTAAAGTACACAAATAGACCTCTCTTTGGGGAAGACCGGAGGATGGGCGTTTCTGTCTGCTCCCTCTGCACTGAGCCCTGGGGTGTTAGTTGTTTCTTTGCTACCATCCCATTGAACCTGTGAACACAAGCCCTGCTGGCCACCAGAGCCAGGCTTTCAAGGGATATGGCCTCTGGGTAGCAATGCTAGAGATGCCACAGGCTCCTTTCTCGGAGACACTGGAAACCTGGCGGGGCAGAGGGAGAGCACGAATGTGACACCCACTGGCTCCCATCTCTGGAGAGGGCTGCCATCGGCCTCAGGATGTGTGTTTAATTAGCAGCACCCCGGCCCCCCCCCCCCACCGCAGCCATCAAGATAAGCTCACAGCCTCTTTCACGGAAAGATAGGGGAGTTTGCTGCCTCTGGGCTCTGGCCTGGGTGGTAGCTGGTTAAGAACTCTTTTCCCCTTGTTACAGTTCTGTGGGACCCGGGAATGTAAGCCTGGTTGGCCACCAGAGCCAGATGGTCAGGGGGCACCCCCCGGCAGGCAGCGCCAAATCCGGAGCCCCAGACGTGCACACCCCCCTTTCTGGGAGATCCCCGCAACCCCAGGAAAGGAGAGGGCGCGCACAAAGATGGTGCCTCCCGCTTTGGCCGTCCTTGGGGCGTATTTCAGTGGCCTCCAGAAATGTGTTAAATGTCCGCCCCTCAGGCTGAAGCTCTCAAGACAGGCAACAGGCCTCTTACACAGGAAGACTGGGCACAGTTCAGTCCCGGCCTCGGCGCTGGGCCCTGGGGCGTTAGCCTGCTGAGTCCTGGAGAGCCCTTGAAGGTTGGCTTCTCAGATGCTCTAGCCTCGTGGGTCTTGCGGATGCAGCCACACTGGCTTTCCAAGTTAGATGGTTTTTGGGGGTTCATCTCTCAGGGGTAGGCCTTAAAAGTTGGGATGCCCGATGTGGAGGTCAAAGCCTCACTCCTCAGGGAGAAGCTGGGAGCCGTCAGCCCCCCAGCCCACCCCTGACTGTGGGTCGCTGTGCCAGGAGTGGGGTTTAAGGTGAGAGCGCGTCTCGGCCTCTCCTACCCCTTTCGATGCGGGTTTTTGTTCACCAGATTCTAAGAGTCGCTTTGCTAGTTCTTGGATTTCTTTCAGAGGAAATTGTTCTGTGTGTAGCTGTAGATTCAGGGTGTCCGCGGGATGTGGGTGCGCTCAGGGTCCTCCTGTGTCACCATCTTGAACCGGAACCCCTTGTAGCTCTTCTGTCTTTGATTCAAAACATTAACAGGTCATCCAAAATACTGAGAAGCAGATGACCAGCAATGAGCTCTGAAGGGCTGGAAAGAATTCCCCACGCCTCCCCTCCCCTCCCCCATCACCTAGTACTGGGCTTGCACGTAATTGGCAATCAGTGAACGTTGCTGAAAGGAAGAGTCAAGCTGAGATATGCAGGTAAAGGGGACATTCAGGTTGGCAGACTTACACTGATAGACGCTGCTCCTGAGTTCTTCTGGGAACAGACACGTAGAAGCAGGTGTGCCCTCATCTTGAGAATCCTTCAAACACCGCAGATGCAAAGCAGAAAAAAAGAGTAATTCTGAGTTCCTGGAGTGCTGGTGGTTGAAGTCACCCACCTGTTGCAAGGCCCACCAGAGGAGCTGAGGTGTTTCCCTCCCTGAGCCTCTGTTCACTGACGCTCCTGCCTCAGGTCTGCACGCGTACTGCCTGGAATACATCTGCTCCCATCTGCACCTGTCAAATTTCTCTTCATCCGTTAGACAGCGGCAACAATTTGACTTTGCTGGATCCTCTTGATTTAGACTGAGTTCTTTGGTTGTGTTCTCTCAGAGGACCCTCCACTCTTCCTTCACAGCACTTACTACGTTTTGTGACTATGCACGCTGTGTTACGGACAGCACGTTGCCCTGGCAGTGCAGATCTGCTATTGGGTGTGGGGAGGGGGGAGGGACAGATAGTCTTTTCCTTTTAAAAATGAGTGGTTTGGGCTTTCCTGGTGGCGCAGTGGTTGAGAGTCCGCCTGCCTACGCAGGGGACACGGGTTCGTGCCCCGGTCCAGAAAGATCCCACGTGCCGCGGAGCGGCTGGGCCCGTGAGCCATGGCCGCTGAGCCTGCGCGTCCGGAGCCTGTGCTCCGCAACGGGAGAGGCCGCAGCAGTGAGAGGCCCGCGTACAGTAAAAAAAAAAAAAAGAGTGGTTTGACCTTAGGACTTCTGTCCAAACTCCATTTAAAGGCAGTAAAGATTGAAATATACAAGTTCTCACAAAGACCACAATTAAGAAATGAAAGTTATCCTTTTCTAGTGACATAAATTTATAGGGGAGCTAAAGAGAGAAACTATATGGCTTACCAAAAACAGCCACCAATTTGAGATCTGGTCATAATATTTAAACTGCAATGAGAATAGGCCCTCAAGTCTATTTTTATGAAATTTATCCCCACTGTGAAGTGGCAGTGTGTACAAAGGTAACACAGCTTGTGATAGTTTACAGAAATATTTGCTACAACATGCATATTATGAAGGGCTTCAAACATATACATATTAAGTTTCATGCTGAATAAATAATCCCCCCAATTTCATTTTTATTTTTACATAAAAATATAATATTGCACTCTTAACAAGACCAGTCATTTTGCATATTTTCTCTTTAGATAAATGATGAAATTCAGCCTTAAAAAAAAAAAAAAAGACTGAGTAGCAACCTTATTCTAATAAGGGACTAATGTAAAGTTCTCAGTAGAAAAATGAAAGTTAGACAATAGCTGCGATTTTTTTTTTTTTAAACAAAGCAAATCACTTCAACGTGAATAGGAATAGTCTCATCTCTGCACCTATCTGGACCTCAGAATTAATAGGTGGTCTGTGCAAACCATGATCTCAGCGCAGCCGTGAGGTGCTCTTACCTATGTATGCAACTGAAGGTTACGAGCATACGTAGCCACTTGCTTCCTCTTGTATTTACCTTGACAGCAGAGACTTTGCAACTGCATTTTATACAGTTTTTAAGCAGAATGTTTTAGAAAGTTTGGAAGTTACAAAAGTAGTTCTGTAAACACCATATGAATTAAATTTCCATAACAAACACGCAAGTAATTCTTAGGCAGGAATACATCTTTGTATCTCATGGTAACAGCTTATTTTACAGTGTTTCCAAAGCCAATAAAGCAGCACCCCCAGTAAAAATAGAGCCATAATATCATGATAGACTATTCCAGGAGTTTTAGGAATTCTGCCTTTATCACGTGTAAGTTTGCTGTGGAGTACACAGATTTTTCTATTGTTCCTAGAATTCTCAAGTGGTATAGGTTAGTAGAAACAGTGGAAACTGCTTCCTAAAAGAATTATTCTGCCTCCTGTTTAAAACGAAGTAAGCTGTGTCCTTTTCTTTTGTAATTCTGTTTTGGGGAAGAAAACTCCTCCTGCATATTAGATTAAATGCCTTAACTGGACTGCATTATTAATATCTGTGCAAACTTCTTCTGAAATGGAGGCTTTCTATTGCAAATTGTTAAGTATTTAATGCTCTGTAAATGGCAGATATTAAAAGAATTATCACTGTGTTTAAATCTTAGTGACTCAACTAAGGATATTCCATATCTAGTGTTATGGATTTTAAGAAGGATTTTTATGAAGAAACAGAATGTGTCTGAAAATCAAAGATACCTGTGTTGTTGTTTGTGACTGTCAAAAAATTCTGGTTCTACTTTGAGCTAAGAAGGCAACAGGCAAAAACTGCCTAACACTGAGATTCAAATATTCAGATATTCAAAAAAATCTTTGGTGCAGAGGCACCTACTGAATTACATACTTCTCAAAGAAAGCAATGATCAAGTCCTGAATTCTTTCTCCTTATCTTTCCTTTTTTGGGGGGAGTGGGGCGGGTGTGTTATCTTGGCAGAAAACTTTTAAAATATAATCTTTAGAGCATTTTATACAAACAGCTGGCCAATTTAAATCCTACTGGCTTTTTTGGAATAATAGAAAATAGAAAGTAATAGAAAACAGAAATAGAGAGACGCTCATCTTTTCTTTAGAATCCTCTATGGAAAAAAACCTTTAAGAATATGATTTTAATTTACTGTACCAGACTTAATTAAACCTTGTTGGTTAGTGCATACTGACACACCCTCCAGGTTATCACTAAACAATACTTTCCTCTCAGGACCTCGTGAGGCTGCAGAATTCTGTGCAGATGAATAGACTTTATCATTACTTGGACGGTTTGTTTGGTCATCCAGTTCTTCGGGTTTGACCTCCTGTAACTGGTGAAGTCGGCAAATCTAGCTTGGAGTTAAAGTGCCTTGCAGAATGCGAGGTTCTCACTCATCCCGCTGCATAGCTGCTGAGGAAGGAATAGAACATTGGCTGTTTCAGGCGCTGCTGGTCCTTCCGACACCAGGCGATCACGGTCCCATCACTGTTTGCTGTGTACAAATGGTGGCCATCGCAGGAAAATGTAAGGCTGTGAAAAAAAAAACCCATTTGTATATTGTGTCTCTGAAAAGTGTATCAGCATATTGGTGATCACATGGAAATCAGTGTAAGGGGGTTAAGATATGTTTACTGGAGCACAGAGACAAACAAAATGACGGCCTACAACTCATTGGTTTTGACTGTAATTCTAATGTAGTTTACTTGCTCTGCTGGCATGTTTGTGAAGCTCCTTCTAACCAAGTGATACAGACTAAAACCAGGACCAAAAGGATCGGTACGTTCTGTTCCTTCTTTGCATATTTTCTTTTCCCTTCTTGTTTAGCCTGATTACTTAAACTACAAATACTTGGGTATAGGAAACTTCGAAAAATACAGCAGTACTACACTTTCTCTCTATAGAAATAAATGGTGATTATTTTATGGAGGTATTTTATTTCCCTGAAAGGGGAAAGGGTAAAAAATGTAACATTAATACATAATTAATGTAGGTTCATTAAACTTTACATTTAGTGGATTAAAAATTATTTTAATAAAGTAGAATTTGAATCCCTTCCTTCCAATTGAGTTTTTAAAGTCAAATTTGTTAACAGAGCAAAGGGTAACTGGTTGTTTAGCAGTCCTGTCAAGCACACGCCTGTAGCCATCAATCACCATTATGCGATTTTCCATAAGGAAAGGGAAAAAATCCATCACTTCTGCAGTTCAGGAGGCTTCCCTGGCGCGAGTCCAGCACGCCTGCCTGTGGGGCTGTGAGCTCCTGACCCAGATTTCGAGCTCCATGAAGACAGGCATTTGGCCTCCTCTTGCCACCGGGCCCCGGGCATCCTGGGCTTCCATAAATGGCCGGCTGTTTATAATGACTTTCATTACGCACTTCTTTACCTCTGTGTGCTTTACTGTCTCTCCAACAAAACAGTCACAGAGTATGTTATGAAGGAAAGAAGAGGTGAGGGAGGTTTTACCTTACAATAGGCTTATTTGATTTAGGAAATGTAATTTCCCGCACAGGCTTTAGGTCCCAAGTACTCCATAACCTAGAGGAAGAAAAAAGTCATCATCTAATTATGCAAACTAAAGTTTCCTTCCCTAAAAATTGAACCTATGTGTTTACTTGTTAAAAGTCATCTGGAAGGAAGCACAATAAACCGATCAACAGTAGTTACTTCTGGGCAGTTTGCCCAGGTGGGTGGGGAGAAAGGAAACCTAACTGTGTATTTTCATATTGTTACTCTTTCATAGTTGACAAACAATATAAAATTTCAAAAATGTACTAAAGCTATCTTTACTATTTATAAATAAAACGAAGAACTGAAGAACCGATATCCGAAGGTGATTTTAAATCTCTAAATATTATTATGTTTAGATAGTAAAAACCAATTTTTGAAACTGCTGTGCCCTTATAGACAAAAGTACACAAAGAAAGAAAAAACTCCTCTTACCTTACAATTCCATTTTCTAATCCCCCAGCAATCACGTTGATAGATATTCCCTCAGGCTGGTTAGAGAAAGCCATGGAACAAATGATCTCTCTGCAGTGGACATGTCCAACGAGGTCCCCGTTCACTGTCCAGAGTCTGAGGTCACTGCCCCCGCCAGCTAAAATGCCACAGTCACCTGCAGGTCACCAGGCTGTGGGTGTCACAGAGCCCCCTACACTGGGCCCCAGAGGGGCATCCCTGAGGGCCTAGCTTGTTTGTTTTAGTGATGAAGTTTACAGGCAACTCACGACTGAAGATTATATAAATGGAACTACTGCACTGTAAGTCACACAGAGTTGGCATATTTATCTAGAGATGGTGACCAGTGAAAAAAATGAAAACAAATTAAGCTACAAGGTAGAGCAACAATGTAAATTAACCATGAATCTTTCTGTAGTCATGATATTTCAGCATACAAACTGCCAAACCTGAATTTGAAAGTACCTAGAAAGCTAAACAATCTCCAAAAAGAGAAGAAAATATTCTGTGAAACAATCTATAAGAAGTGACTTCCGGGACTTCTGAAGAAACAAAAGTTACAGTAAAAGCTGAGTTAAAAACTAATTCTTAAAAAAAATGAAAGCTAATTCTTCAGAATGTCTAAGATTGACTCTTACAAATCCATGTCTTATTAAACGAATTTTTTTTCCTTTCAAAGACCATGAGTAACCAAACTTTTTGTAGTTTTCCAGGGGGTGGAGGAGGCACTAATTGCTTTAATATCTTCTATAAACTCGGGCTGTGGTTTGGGGCCTCGTGGTGATGTGTCCAGCCTTCTTTGGAGAAATATTCTCATACTGATAAGACAGAGGTTAAGAGGCATGATAAAGTTTGGACGACATAATGTGTTACTACACTTAATTTTATCTCTCCATTAGAACTAACAGAAAAGCAGACAATGTGTTTCTCTCTTTATTAAGGAAATGAAAAGATTTTATAGCAAAGAAATAAATATTGGAAATACTTCTTTACCTAAAGGTATGCAGAAGACCTTCCAACCAAAAGGCCTAGTGTGTCACCAACCAAAAGGCCTAGTGTGTTGCAGTATCATTCACAATAGCCAAAAGGTGGGAACAACCCAAATGTTTATCAAGAGATGAATGGATAAACAAAA